GACGACGGCTCAGAAGCCCCTACCTCTGGGCCGGGAACCGTGGGACTCAGTACCTTGGTCTGGTGGTCTGGTGTCCTCTGCGCCTTGGTAATGTGGAATCAGGTGGCTGCCTGTCTGCAGTGGGGTGATTCGGCGTCTTCCGTGTGACTCTGTACTTTTTTTTAATAGTAGGAAATTCGCTGCTAATTTCCTTTTTCTGGTGTCATAGAATTTATTAATTTTATTGTTGCTGTTAAATTGTTATGTATTACATGTTAACATACAATTTTAACCTTTTATTATTTATGTGTAATTATCAAATTATATAATGATTTGCCTTTGGGGGTGGGAATATGCTTTTGCTTTTGTGAGTATACTTTACTTATAAAATTTATATTGATCTTAACTTTTTCCAGGTTACTTGGAGTGATATAGCAGGTTTAGATGATGTTATTACAGATCTGAAAGATACAGTCATCTTACCTATCAAAAAAAAACATTTGTTTGAGAATTCTAGGCTTCTGCAGCCTCCCAAAGGTATGGTAAAAATGTGTATATTTGCTTAAAACATTAAAAGTGTCGTGAACATGGAAACTTACAGCCATTACATAACCTTTTTGTGTGAAATCAGATTCTAAGAGAATGCTGAGATTGAGTGAATTATTTTATAAATTCTAGTTTTAAAATAATTGTTCTTCTGAAATGTAGTTAAATTCTTTTTCCTGCAGTTACATGTCAAAATAATCTCTATTTAAAACTCATTTTTATTACTTTCAAGTAAATTAAAATCTAGGAAATAAAGATTTAAAAAAAAATCCCAAATCACAGTATATTTTTCCCCTAAGCCGTCTTTTCATTGTTTCTCAACTCTAATGTGTTTTTTTTTTCTCCTAGTGATCTATTTTTAGATTTTAGTAATTATTGTTTTTGTGGACAAGGGGTTTTGAGATGTTCTCATGATGTAACTCAGGCAGGCATTGAACTTTTTTTTTTTTTGTTACCAAGATCGAACTTGGTACCTTGTGCTTGTGAGGCAGGCAGCAGAACCACTGAGCTAAATCCCCGGCTCAGGCATTGCACTCTTCATCCTCCTGCCTTAACCTCCCTAGTTCTGGGATTACAGGCGTGCACTACCATGCCCATCTCGCAGTGAGTCTTTATAGGAAATATTGAACTGCAGATGACCTGGAAGTTACCACATACTCCTTTTTTTGGTGGTGATTCTGGGGATTAAATCTAGAGCCTTTGCACTGAGCTACCTTCTCAGCCCTCTTTTTTAAAAAAATTAATTAATTAATTAATTTATTTTTGGTACCGGGGATTGAACTGGGGACCTTGTACTTGCGAGGCGGGCAGTGGCACCACTGAGCTAAATCCCTGGCCCTTTATTTTTTATTTTGAGAGAGGATCTCTGTCAAGTTGATAAATTGTCCATACGAGGTTTGAATTTGTAATCCTTTTGCTTTAGCGTCCCAGAGTACTGGGATTACAGGAACATGTGCTACCAACCCTGACTAAGTACTACTATTTGTGGGAAACTTCCTTATTCGTAATTAGTTATACTTTGAAAACCTTGAAGCTTAAGTCGAGATATTTATAGCTACATCTCTAAATATAATCCTTTTATTCTTGTTTTTGCAAACATTAATCATTCTTAAAGCTTGTTAGAGGCAATTCAGATAGTGCATATATGATAATTTACAGAGAAAAGTTGTAAATTTGATGTAAATTATATTTCCTATATAAGTATATTTATATATTTATTTTTTTGCAATGTGCATTCCACATTAAATTCCGAGCTCACAGTGGTGAAATGTAATTCTAAGCACCTGCAGTCAATCATGTGTTTCCAGCTTTAAATGAAATGACATTAGATTATTATTCTTTATTGTTTACATGTTCATCCAAAAAAAGTGTTACTAGAAGGTCCAGATTATAACTGACTTGAGTAAATTTTAAGCACTTAAATGGACTTAATTAAAAATTGAAGACCACTTGAAAATATTAACAGGTACTGGCAAAGCTTATGGCTTGAAATTTAAAATCAGCTTTAGAGCCAGGTATGGTGGTCATGCATGTAATCCTAGCAGTCTAGGAGGCTGAGGCAAGAGGATCACAAGTACTGGAAAAAAAAATCAGCCTTAGAAAAATTTAGTTTAAAATTCAGTTAGTTGATGTAACTTGAATCTTAAAGAATTAACACCCATAGGAAAATCTGTGTACACTTGAATACAAGTTTGAACATTATTTTGAAATGCCTGATATGAAAAAATTGGTAAGTTTATAGAAAAACAAGCTTGAGTTTTTCATTTTAAAAATATTGAATTTTATTGTGGAACATTTATACAAAATATTTTTCTCATTTTGAATTTTATTTTTAATATATAATATTAGGAATGTTTTAGATACCTCAATAACCCCAGCACACCATCTATATATGCTGCATTCTTTAAAAACTATTACATGAGAAGAGTTGAGCTTTGAATTAAGCAAGTATTTTAAGAAATGTACAAATTGGGAATGGTGGCATGCACCTATAATCCCAGCATTCTGGGATCCTCAGGCGAGGGAATCACAAGTTCAAGCCTAGCCTGGACAATTTCACAATTTAGTGAGACCTTGTCTTAAAGTAATAAAGGCCTGGGGATGTAGCTCAATGTGAAGGCCGTGAGTTCAATCTCTGTACTGCCGGAAAAAAAAAGAAAATAAAAAGTCTACAGATTGTAATTTTCATCAGAACTATGTAGATTATTTATAGATAAACTCGTAATTTTAGTATTATATTCATAAAATATGCCTCATTTCAGCTGAGAAACAGTGGTGATTTTGAAAATGTTTAAGACCCCAGCCTGTTTAGATCTCTTATGTGTTAAATGCATTACCTTAAGTTGTATTTAGCAGCAAATTGCTGTCAGTGGTGACTACAGGTTAATAACACAAGTTAATTGGAAATTAAAACAAAAGTAACTAATAATTTCTATCTACATTCCTTTTAAGAAAAGATTATTATCCATTTGGAAAAAGGTACATGACTTTTTGGCTAAAACAACAGCTAAATGGTGTATACCGCTGTCTGTTTGGAAGTTACTTAAAGTTATTAAAGGTTTAAGGTGTTATCAAGGTGCTATAGGGCTCTCTTAGCTTGTGAAGGTGGAAGGCATTAGATGACTTTTATTGCCAGTCGTTGACAGAGTGGTATGAACCTGGATAATAGTGTTTAATATCCTGAACTGGACCTTTTCATGAACAGAGAAGGTGCAAGGATGCTTTAATCTCCAAATACATGTCTTCAGTGACAGTTTAGAACACAGTGACTTTCTTGCTACTACCTTTTCTATTATAAATGGATTCAATAAATAATTAAATATTGGGAGTGTTTTAGCGTGGGGAGAATTAATATTATTTTTGACATAAACATCTCATTTTCTTAAAGGTAATAGTAATTTAACATTGATTTCTAGGTGTTCTTCTGTATGGGCCTCCAGGCTGTGGTAAAACATTGATTGCTAAGGCTACAGCCAAAGAAGCTGGCTGTCGATTTATTAACCTTCAGCCTTCAACACTGACTGATAAGTGGTATGGAGAATCTCAGAAATTGGCTGCTGCTGTGTTCTCCCTTGCCATAAAGTTACAGCCTTCCATCATCTTTATAGATGAAATAGGTATGTTTTCCACATGAGCACTTTAAAAGTAATATTGGATAACCAGATTTAGGTCCTACTAATAAAAGGTGTAACCAGCATCATAGTATGTTATGTATAATTTTCGTGTTATAGTATAAACCATCATTGTCTTGTTCATTCTCTTACTTGATAGACAGGCTTTCTTTTTTCTCTTACATATGGTATGAATGGGCATACATTACATGCATATTTTCTCCCTAGAAGTTGAAACTTATCAACTTGCCTTGGATTACAGTTATCTGTACACTCCCACTAATGTGTAGTTTGTTGCCCTATTACTCTCTGAGGTTTATTTTTTCATACATTATCATTAATTTTTGTCAGTTTAAAAACCGAATTATTTCACCATTGTTTTAATTTATATTTCCCTGCTTACAAGTCAATTTGGCTGTCTTAATATGTTGATCAGCTGTTTGGACTTCCTTGCTTATAACTTGCCCATTTTTCTTTGGGTTGCTTGTAGTTTCTTAATAATTCTTTGTTGATGTTTATTATGATTACATATATTTTCTAGGTTGGCTTATCTTTTTGTTTATGATAGCTTATTTTTACAATTATTTAAATTTGAATGTAGTTACCTTTATCAGTATTTTTCCTGTACAGTTTATACTTTTTATGTCTGGTTTACAAATTCCTTCGCTATCCCCATAAATAATTTCTTTTAAAAACTTATATAAATAATGTGAGGCAGGAATCTAATTTCTTTCTTTTTCATTAGGACAGCCAATTTATAAATATGTCATCTTTCCTTGTCACAACTTTTATATTACCTATATTTTATGGACTGTTGATATTTTTGTTATATTCCTAGTACAATAAATTATGTGTGTGTGTATATATATATATGTATATATAAAATGTGTGTGTATATATATATCTTAATTACTATGGCTTTCAATTATATATTCTTATATGTGATATGATAGCCTATATAAAAATAAAGATGTGTAGTATATAGACTTGGTTACTTAATTGCCTTTGTGCCTTTTCTTATCAATTTATTCTTTCAACTATTTTTGGTGTGCATCTTGAAGAAAAGAACATATACCTGTATTTTAAAAAAATCTAACTTATCTGTAACTGGGATATATACTTAAATTTGCCTTTATTATGATAGCTGATCTATTCAGATTTATTGCTACAAAAATTTTGTGCTTTTTATTTATTAATCTGGTGGATTTTTAAATTTCCCTTTTCCCCATATGGGTTTAGAAGTTACATATTCTTTTTCTTCTACTAAAACATTTGGCACACCTACTTTGTCTTAAAATTCCAAAGCTAAATAACATCGAGGCCCTCTTCCCAAATAATACAGGAAGCTCAGAATTCTTACATACTAATAATTCCAATAGTTTATTTTCTTAAATCCTTGCATATTAGTTGTTATTTTACTCTGGCATTCCTTGTTTAGATAAATGTATTATCCTTTTCTGAATTTAATTTTCTTTTTACTGAAGTCTTGAAGTTCTTTCAGCAAAGGTTGTAAAGGGTAAATTCTTTGTTATCTCTTAAATGATACAGAATTGTTTTTCCTCAGCATTTTGAAGTTACAAATCAGTTGTCTTCCAATCTTTTTTTAAAAATTCTGTTTACTTAATATTTCTAAGCAATCAATGTATCTTTTCTCCATAGTTGCCATTAGATTTTTATGACATTCTGCTATTTGATGACTATGATTTTTCCAAGTCTGCATTTGTGTTTGTCCTGCTGTCTTACGATGGTTTCTAAACTGAGAATTTATGGTTTTCAGTACTGTAATTCTGGAAAATTTTCTCAAGTTTCTTCGAATGTTGCAGTTCTCCCATTAAAATTATTTTTATCTTTTTATTTAATTTTAAGTCATTTCCACAGTTCTTGCATCTAGTTCTCTCTCACATTTCATCGTTTCTCAGATGGCCTGTTTTGATTTTTATATTTTGACGTCTCTTAAGAATAGAATAGCATGTTATAATTTAATTGCTGTATTTTTTTTCTTTTAACATTATAATTGCCAGGATTTTAAATTTCTTGTTGGTATATGTACAATTAGAAAAATCACCCAGATGTTGAGTAGGTTACAAAAACCAATTCTTTCTTTGGCTGTATTTAATATCTAAACCATTATGTTTTGCATTCTCTTGATTATATTTGAACTTTAGAGTTCTAGTCAGTTCTTTTTAAAATTTACCCTTTTCTCACTGTAGTTTGTTCTTTTGTTAGAATTCTAATCTCTTTTATATCTTTAGAATTTTAAACATTAGTAGTTTTGGATTGCTCTGTTTTCTGAAATTCTAATTCTCCTTTATGTAGTTGACTCTTTTGTAGTGATTTCCATGAGTAGAAAGTAGAGTTCTTATATATACAGTTTCCTCTGTTACTTTGCATTAGTGTGAATCATTTGTTGCAATTAATCAACCATTACTGTAATTATTAAATCCAGTATTTACCTTATGGCTCATTCTTTGTACAGTACAGTTCAATGAGATTTGACAAATACTCAATGTCCACTGTGTCTGTCCCATTACAGTATCATACAACAGTTTAACTGCCTGACTCTCTGCTTCACCTATTCATCCCATCTCTCCTAACTCCTGGCAGGGGCTAGTTATTTTACTATCTTTATTGTTTTGCCTTTTCCAGAATGTCATGGTGTTGAAATCATGCAATCTATAGTTGTATTTTTTTCTTTCCTCGCTATGTAGTTCAGGCTGGTCTTGAACTCACAGCAATCCTCCTGCCTCAGCCTCCTGAGTGCTGGGATTTCAGGTGTGCACCACCACACCTGGCTAATCTGTAGCTTTTTCAGACTAGCCTTTTCACTTAGCAGTATCATTTAAGATTCCTCCATATCTTTCCATGACTTGACTACTTGTTTCTTTTTATTGCTCAATAATAATGTGCCATTTTAGGGATATACCAAAGTTTCTTTATCCATTCATATATTGAAGAATATCTTGTTTTAGACAACCATGAGTAAAGGTGCTAATAACATTCATGTTTAGGTTTTTGCATCAGCATAAGTTTGCAACTCAACTGACTACCAAGGAGTGTAGTTGCTAGATCATATATAAAGCTGTGCTTAGTCTGAGTTGTAGTCCAACAGTGGGACATATTTTATAAAATTGGAGCTATCGAGGAATATCCACAGTATATATTTGCTGTTGCAGGACTGTTTTATTTTGGTATTGTGCTTTTGCTGGAATTGCTTTTTGAAAAATGTTTTTTTTTAATCTTGCACCTAACACATTGTAAAACATTTTTATGCCACTTGTGTATATACTGTAGTGTTAAAATATGACGGTTACTTAGAAATATTAATGATTTATAGGTATAAACAAACCATTTAAAATGAGGCTTATACAAGAAAGTACAAGCTTTATTTTTACTGTCTTTATTTTTCATTCTTAAGATATAACCTTTTAGTCTTTTCATGTTCTAAAAAGACTTCCTTTTTCTCTTTTAAAAAAGCTTTTTATATTCACTGTAGCTTATTTGGAAGACAGAAAATAGTATAAAAGAGATGTTAAAATTGGCCCTTGGTTCATCCCTGAGAGAGAACCAAAGTTTTCCTAGTATTTTGGTGTTATTTCACTAAAGGCTTTTTTTCTTTCTCATATATAACTTATATATACATGCAGGCTAATACATGGGGTTTTGTTGGTGGTGGTCGTGGTGTGTGTGTGTGTGTGTGTGTGTGTGTGATACAGTACTGGGGATTGAACCCAAGGAGTGCTGAGCTATATCTCCAGCACTTTTTATTTTATTTTGAGACAGTTTTTGTTCAGGCTGGCCTTAAACTTATATCCCTCCTGCTTCAGTCTTCCATGTAGTTGTGATTATAGGCATGCACCACTATGCCTGACTAGCACATGTGTTTTCTCCTCTACATTTTCCTATTTAATAGTATTTTAGACAGTTTTCCATATCATTTTTGTTTATTACCAGGAACAAGTATAAGGAAAAAGAATGTGATTCCATAATTAAGAACATAGGGTGCAGGTACACTGGAAAGGTAGGGACAAAGCACACAAGCTTTCCTCCAAGATGGCTGATTACCCTTTCCCATCCTTTTGGTGCCAGATCCTTTATTTTTTATATATATATATATATGTATTTATTTATATTTTTATATATTAACATGAATTTGTTTTTAGGAAAGAAATGAAGATTGTGAATTGACCGCGTTTTAATTTGCTCAGTAACTTACTAGTATTATAATGTCTAAAAGGCATAGTTAACCCCTTCTTTCCCTGTAATCTTTTGTCAAGTTGTAAGCTTTTAATTAAATGATTTAGTTATTTACAGAATCAATAATTTATAAATTTTTAAAGTTAAGGACCTTTTCCTTTTAGACTCCTTTCTACGAAACCGATCAAGCTCTGACCATGAAGCTACAGCCATGATGAAAGCACAGTTTATGAGTCTCTGGGATGGATTGGATACTGATCACAGTTGCCAGGTATTTCAACAAAACTTTTCTTTTAAGTTAATTTTATTGGTACATTTAAGGTATACAATATAATGACATTCATCATTGGAAATCATTGGAAACCTTTACATAATTCATCTTGGTTCTTATTTTTTCCCCATTCCCCTGCCCTCCCTTCAACCCCTCCACCCCTCCCGATCTACAAAGACTTTCTTTCCATTTTTTCCTTTTCTCATATTAATTCCATTCCCTTCAATAAGACTTTTTTGCCCCAAATTTGTGCTCTTTTTATTAGTACAAAATTTAGTGGGCTACTTATACTTTTGAATGAAGTTCTTTCTTATAATTTTTATATTTATCATCCAAAAATATAGTTTGTATAAATCATCCATTTTTGAGGGCTTCATGTTTAACAAAGCACTAAGAGATTGCCTGTGTGCCTGAAACAGATGCAGTGAAGGGAAAACTAGAATCAGGCCTGTCCTAATTTGGAGAACCACTATGACAAGGAAGAGGAAGTGTCTAGTCTCTGTGGGTGTTTTGTATGTGATTTCTTTCTCTTTGATTTTCTTTTTCTTTGACCCTTAGCATGTCTTTATTATCTTTACTTTCGTTTTTATATCCCTCCTCTTATTTTCAGTTTACTGTTCCATTAGTTATGTGCCTTCCTTTAGGATTCCATTTTTATGCAAGACAGTCTTCTATTTTAGTTTTGGTTCTTCCCTCTACAAGGCTGTGAAAACCACATGTAAGTTCTCTTGTGATGTCCCCAAAGGGAAAGCTAATTTTATTTTTCAATTTTCCTCTTTGGCTTCTCACTTTCACTGACTGAACATCCTAATATTCCATACTTTGTTACCAGCTTATTGAGGTATTTTTAAAGAAAGTTTAATATTGATTTGGCATGTTTGTTTTTCTGCCATATTGCTGGAAATGCAAGCCCTAAAACTACTTTTCCATTTTTTTCATTAATCACATGCAAATGTTAATATTGTTTTAACCTTAGAACAAACTTGCTATTTTGAAATCTTTTTTGCTTTGTCAAGATAATATGTCAAGAGTCACATCTTTCCTTACCACTTTTTTTTTTCAGCGCTGGGATGGAATCCCAGGACCATGCACATGCTACACCCCCAGCCCTTTCATCACTGTTTAACAATTCAACCATTTTTATGTAGCGATTGTTTTTTCATTCCCCATTTTTTATCTCCTATAGGTATTTGTAGAACCTTATTTATATTCTGTGTCTTTTAACTTCTCTTTCATAGTTTGTGTTTCTTTGTTCTGTGTTCTAGGTAATTTCTTTAGCTCTTTTTTTCAGTTTGATAATTCTGTGTTCGTTTAGAGCTCTTCAATTATAAATGGAAGCATTGAACTACTTATTGCAATTATTTTCAGTTCCAGAAATTCTTTTATATGGTTTTCAAGTCTACCAGGTCCATTTTGGCGACACTTGCTGGTTACTTATGTTTGTAATTGGATTAGAAAACCGGAGTCCTGGCATTAACTAGTTGTGTTGACCTTAGCCACATTTTGTAATTACTGTGTATCTGTGTAGAAGAACTAATATCTATAAAAAAGGAGACTACTGTCCACTTCACAATAATTGGAAAGAATCAGTCTAAGTGAAGTGTTTAAAAAGGTTTCTGGCATATGTTTAGTTCATAATGATTTGCTGTGTTTTTTTTTAATTCCTCATTTATTCCTTTAAATAAGCTAACATACTAATTTTATAGTCTGTATTCAATAATTCTAATGTGACTTTTCATATGTCTAGTTCTGTCATTTGTTGTTTGAGTTTATAGTGTGTTTTTATGATTTAGTGGAAAACTCACATTTGGTAGAACTTTATGAATTCTTTGTATTGAAGGTTTGTTGTACGAAGGTTTGTTGTGCTAAGGTTTGTATTTGCCTTCTGCCAGATTATTTTTTTCCAATACAAATAGGTAAATTCAGGTCCAAGATCCATCTGTGTTGGCAGACTATAGATATTAAAGCTCAAAAGTTTTGTGTGATCATGATCCCCACCCCTCAAGGGCTGCCTCTGCTGAATGGGTTTTCTAACATTTCACCACTTCCCAGTATACAGTACTTCATGAGGCCTTGCTTTATGTAGAATGCTGTTCATCAGGCTCCCCAATGACCTGTGAGGTATTTAGAACACACCCTACTTTCTAGGATCTATGCATGCCTGTATGATATGTAGTCAACTTCTATCCTTGCCTACCTTCCTACGTATAGGCTTTACTGCTGGTCTCCCATTTTCCTCATTTGTAGACATGTAGATTAATTTGTTTGATTTTTTTACTTCATTATTTTTACATGTTTTATTTTCAACAGTGTTAAGGGTTACATACAGTACCATAAATCAAAAGTCTGAACCATATCATTCTCAAGAAGAAAAGTAAGCCACATGACCTCCTCCTGCATCACGTTTATGAAAGTATAGTTTTATTGTGAGAGAGCCTTTAGCTTTATTGAATTTTAGGAAAGAAAGCACAATATAAATTAGGGTAGCATTAACAAAAACATTTTCTCTTAGTAGTTGGTTCTGATAAATTTGTAAATCTGGGATTTATCAGTGTTAATTTACAGGTTGCCAAAACTAATTATCTTCCTGAGCAATGGTATTTAAAGCACTTACATAGGAACCAGTTAGCTGTTCTCTAAAATAATCTTTTTTTTTTCAGTGCTGGGAATTGAACCCAGAGAGTATTGAGCTATACCCTCAGTTCTCCCAGTCCCCCTTTTTTTCTTTAATGAGACAGGGTCTGAATAAATGGCCCAGGCTGGCCTTGAACTTTCAGTCTTCCTGTCTCTGCTTCCCTAGTAGTAACAGTATCTTTTCTGTGACTATAGATGGAACCCAGAACCCCAACTAGCTTTCCTTGTGATTATATTCACACAGCCAAACAAAAATAGTAAATGATCCAATGAAACCATCACCACTGCCAGAAAACTTAGCAACTACTAACACATTCTTCACCTTGAAACATGAGACATAAAAGGTAGCAATGTTTTTAGGGTACTTATTGGAGAAGTTAAGGTTTGTTAAGGGATACATTTATATCTGATTATTTTAAATGGAAAATGATAGACTTTTGGAAAGTGAACCCAGGGATTGGCAGAAGCTAGGCAAGCAGTCTACCAATGAGTTAATCCCCAGCCCTTTTTATCTTTTCATTTTGAGGCAGGATCTTGCTAAAGTGCCTAGGTTGCTCTCAAAGTTGTGATCCTCCTGCCTCAGCCTTCCAAGTAGGTAGGATTACAAGCATTCATGAATGATAAAATTTATCTTCATGTTTCAAGGATTTTAAAAAACTTTTAACAATCATTATCTAGGTGATGCACTGATTTTTGTAGTTTACTAAGGAATTTTTATTTACCATTTTGAATTTTAGCTCAATTATACTAATATCCTAAATAGAATTAATATATGTGTAATAAATAGAACTTATAGTGCTAATAAAATAATGTGTAAAGATTCTGTTTTTCTCCTTAAAATCATTCCTTAACATTTGCTTAACTGAAAGTACAAGTAATTTGGATCACTATTGCTTTTTCATTAGGAATACCTTGGATTATCCTGTATGTATTCATTAGACCAGATTAGGCTAATTTGAATTCTTTGATTTTATTTTCTAGCATTCATCTTCCATACTCGGTTTTAGAATTGTGTTTTAGGCTTTTTTTTTTTAATCTAGAATGTTTTTCATATCTAATCTATTTTTCAAATTCTGCTTCAACCACAGTGCCTTTTGTGATTTCTGCAACTGAATATGGCCAGTCTTTAACAAACTTCTGTATCACTTTGGAATTTCTCTTTTTAACACTATATCAAAGTATCAACTGAATATGGCCAGTCTTTTTTTTTTTCCATTAAGTTTGTTGGTACATTTTAGGTATACAGTACAGTTACATACATGATGTTTCTTGGTTCTTATTTTTTCCCCATTCCTCTGCCCTCCCTTCACTCCCTCCACCCTTCCCTATTTTTTTGTGTGTGGTACCAGGGATCGAACTCTGGACCTTGTGCTTGCAAGGCAGGCGGCAGAACTACTGAGCTAAATTCCCGGCCCAACCCTTCCTTATTTACAAAGACTTTGTTTCCATTTTTTTCCATTTCTCGTATTTTTTCTTTTCCCTTTTCTTTCCCCTACCCCTCCTTACTTCCCCTACTCCTTTAGACCTTTTCTTCCTATTTCACAATATTAGTTATACATTTTGATCCTTATTTACACTTTTCACACCAGAGAAACTATTTGGTATTTACACGTGTGTCCTATTTATTTCACTTGAGTATGGCCTCAATGTGTATCCATTTAGCTATAAATGTCTCTAATTTCTCATTCTTTATGGCTAAGTAGTACTCCATTTTATAAAAAAACCACATCTTTATCCAGTCTCCAGTTGATGGGTAATTGGGCTGTTTCCAAGTTTTAGCTATTATAAACTGTGCCGCTATAAACATGGGTGAGCAAATATCACTGTGGTATGATTCTTTTAATTCTTTTGGGAAGATACCCAGCAGAGGGATAGCTGGGTCAAATGGGACTTCTAATCCTAGTTGTTTAAGGTATCTCCATATTGATGTCCACAGTGGTTGCATCAGTTTGCACTCCCACCAACAATGAAGAAGGGTTCCTTTCTTCCCATAACCCCACTAGCATTTGTTATTGTTTGATTTCTTGATAGTAACCATTCTTACTGGGATGAGGTGGAATCTCAGCTTTGTTTTCATCTGCATCTCTTGAATGACCAGTGATGTTGAACATTTTTTCATGTGTTTATTTGCTGCATTTACTTCTTTGTCTGAGAAATGTCTGTTCATTTCAGATGCCCAGTTTTGAATTGGGTCTTTGAATTTGAGGGGTCTGATTTTTTTGAGTTCTTTATATATTCTAGATAGTAGACCTTGTCTGAGGAGCAGCTGGTAAAAATTGTTTCCCACATTGTAGGTTGGGTCTTAGCTCTGTTGGTGGTTTCTCTTGCAGTGCAGAAGCTTTTTAATAAGATGAGATCCCAGTTGTTGATTCTTTGTGCTAGTTCCCATGCTACTGAGGTTTTGTTCATAAAGTCTTTTCCTATGCCAGTGTCTTCAAGAGTTCTACCTAACTTATCTTCCAGCAAGTTTAGTGTTTCTGTTTTAATATTTAGATCTTTAATCCACTTTGATTTTAGTTTAGTGCATGGTAGAAGATAGGGGTCTAGTTTTGATCTTTGGCAAGCTGAAATCCAGTTTTTCCAACACCATTTATTAAAGAAGCTATCTTTCCTTCAGTGAGGATGGTTGGCTCCTTTGTCAAAGATGAAGTTATTGAGTATGTCTGGGCTTGTTTCTGTACCTTCTAGTCTATTCCAGTCTATGGCCAGTCTTTAGTAAGCTTCTGTATCACTTTGAGTTTCTCTTTTAACAATATATCAAAATACTCTTATTTACACTCTTTATCTCATGCAGTTCATCCATTTAATCATTTTAGCTGGCTTTTTTTTTTTTTCTAGCTGGCTTGTTTTACTTTTGGTAGAAATTTTAAAAATGTTATCAAGTTGTAGGAAGTCAATAAAAAGAAGAGTATAAGCATTATACCCCTTGGGTATAGCATTAATATTTTAATTCTAGGACCACAACTCAAATACGGAATTGCATATTTTTGTGGAACTAACATTTCTCAAGTTTATATTTATTTTTTCTCTCGTTGAGTAGTTACTGATGCTATTTAAAGTTGGATTGCTGATAGTGCAATAAAATGATATGAAATCTAGAGAAAAATATATGATAATGTATGTGTGTATGTATAAAACACTGTACATAGAAATTATATATATATATGTGTATATATATACACTATGTATTTGCAACTGAATGATACATATTTTAGTTACTAGAAGTGGAGTAAAATGCGTTGGCCTGTCCAGATTGCTATTATTTGATTTATTTAGGATCAACTTCAGTTTTATCTGTAATTATTTGAGTAGTTCTAGAATAAAATCAAATTTCTTGTTAAAGATTTAGTCAAAAGTTGCCCGGGTGGGGATTTAGCTCAGTGGTTCTACCACCTGCCTCACAAGCGCAAGGACTAGAGTTCAATCCCCAGTACCAAAAAAAAAAAAAAGTCGCCTAATTTTCTTTATCTCCTAAATCCTAGTAATAGTGACCTCAGAGTGTTGCTGGTAGATCTAATACCTGGTGGTGTCTTTCTGTGTTTAGGTCATAGTGATGGGAGCGACTAATCGTCCTCAGGACCTTGACTCTGCTATAATGAGAAGAATGCCTACAAGATTCCATATCAACCAGCCTGTAGGTGGTTTTGATTGTATTATTGACAGTTAAATATTTGCCTTTTTTACAAGTCATTATCTGTGATTTTTAAGAAAGGAATGTTTTGTTCCATGGAACTCATTAATGATAAACAGGGAAGGAATTGGGGCATATAATCAACATGTTACATTTATAGCCATTCAGAGGAATTTTTAGTTTGTCATTGTTTTCAGATTTTGGAATACAAATTTTTAGTTCCACTTATAATCTGCCTAAAAATCATTTATCCCACTAATGTTTTGTAACTTAGATCAGCTGTGGCCATAAACATGGTCTCCTATAGTTAATGCTTGTGGCCTCTATAAAATTACACTGATGAACTATTTGCTATAGCTATAGCCTCTGGTTTCTCTGAGGATACTCATACTTAATGTATTTGAAAATTATCTGATAAATCAATGACATTTCTTAATATAGGAGATTGTAAATTTTATTTAGCATAATTAATACTTATTGAGCATTAGTATGTGCTAGATACTTGCTGGGCTCCAGTGAGTGGAACATGGCGCTTGTCTTCCAGCTCTGTATTGCAGGAAAGCAGACAAATAATGTAAAATGTGCTTTACAAAGGTACATTTAAAGAACTCAGAGGGCCTGAGACACTGATAAAATTACTAATTCTGTCTGTGGAGTCTGTGGGATTCACAGAATCTACTTGGGCTTGGAATAATAGTAGGAATTTGACAGGCAAATGAAATAAGGAGATGCTTTCCTGACAGAATGAACAAAGGGAATACAGCATAGAAGTACATTTTAATGGGTGAGTTTTAGGGGTAGTTCAGCTAGGCCACTAAGGAAGATAGATGGAGTTGAGGCTAGAAAGATAGACTGCTGCCTAGTTTAGATGACTTGGTATGCTTTGCACAAGAATTTAAAATATTTTGTAAGCAATATATTGAGACATTTTAAAGACAATTAGTTTATCTCAATTTATCTGAAACCCAAGATTTCTTTAATAAACCCAAGATGATCTTTATCAGTAATTCATTTATAGTCTAATAGACAATTAAGGTTTATTGATGTGCAGCATATATCAAATACCAGAAAGATACTTTGTATATAGAAAACAAAGATTTTTGATGTACAGTGGTATAAAACACAGGGTGTTCCATGGAAAGTAGCCTTTGTTAAAGTTGTAAATTTTAATATATTGTGTTTTATTAAAATGAGTCATAACAGGTTTCATCAGATTTGTTATAAATTTTTATGCAGTTAAAATAGAAACTAGAATTTTGTGACTTCTTTTTCATTCTCATTTTAGTGACTACACACAAGTATCGCAGGGGAATTTTTTTCTTATATAATTACAATGTCAAATTGTATTATTAATCTTACCTTAAAACACTTTTTCAAGTAAAATTCTTAATAACAAAAAGTACTTATTGGTGATCCCATTACATACAATTTAACCTTCCTACTAAACACACTTGAATTATGAAAACTCAGTTTTGTTTTGTTTGGTTTTATTTTATACTCATAACCAGTTTGTCAGTGGTTATAGGAACAGTGATTATGTCAGCCATGATAATTTAAAAAACCATCTATGAACGTATATGTAAAGTAGTTTGTAAAAGTTAAATATAGTTTCTGATCTCTGGTGTAATAATATGAGGCATTACTGTCGGGAGATTAGACACTAAATAGAAATTCACTAATATTTTTGAACATAAAAGTTATGTGTTGAAATGGAGGAATTGAAGGTTTATTGGTGCTATATCTTCCATTTACTGCTAAAAAAAAATCTTATGGAAGTTAATGAGTTTTATAAATTTAGTAAATGAAGAAAAAATGAAGATTGTAGAGCTGTATTAGAAAGACATCATAGTTTTAGCTATTTCATTCACTCACTTAAAAAACATTAAGGACATATTATTTCCCAGTCATTATATGAAGCAATGATGATAGAGAGTAAGAATTATAATTTGGGGCAGGGTTAGTGATGTATCCCTATAAACTCAGCTGCATGACAGGTTGAGTTGGGAAGATCATGAGTTTGAGGCAAACCATGTTTAGCAGGACAACTACAGATGATTACTGTAGTCTCAAATCAAGACCTTGTTTTGACCTCTATCATAGTTTTGTTATTGCATATAGGTATCATCAGCTTAGAAGAGAAGCAATAGTAGAAAACCGAGTTGGTCCTCATTTTTCAAAAAGTACTGACTGGAAATTGTTCTGGTTTTAGGCACTAAAACAAAGAGAAGCAATCTTGAAGCTCATTTTGAAAAATGAAAATGTAAGTAGAAAATTACAATTTTTTCCATAAACATATGTTTATGTTCATAGAATCATTTTAGAGAGAATGAAGAAGGAATCTGAGAGTAATGTAGCTTTGAATTTGACCTAAATTATTACAAAATTCTTGGCTGCTCATTTAACTCAATAACTATGATTCATTTGAACTAGCTAAGTGATTTGTGTGTTTTTAAAGAGCTATATGTTTTGTATCTATAGATTAAAATACTCTTGATATTTTTCAGACCAGTTTATTCTTAAGAATGCTAATTTTTTGTAAAAAAGTGGATCTTTTGTATTTATTTTTTGTTTTTACTTAATTGCAGTGTTTTTATTGTTGGAATTTAGATTTAAGAACAAAAAATAAAAATCTTCAGTAGCTTTTGTGTTTAGAGGTTTTTTAAAAAATAGATAATCTAGCCACATGTTTCAAGCTTTAAAATATGTATATTAGCCGGGGATTTAGCTTAGTGGTTCCAGGGCCTGCCTCGAAAGCACAAGGTCCAGAGTTTGATCCCCGGTACCCAAAAAAAAAAAAAAAAAAAACCAAATTAAAAAAAAAATACATGTATTAAATAGTGTGCAGGGAAAAGGGTCTTCATTCCCTACATTTCTTTACTTTTTCAGATGACATATGCCTATATAAGCAAATTAGAACATATCGTTATTTCTATCTCCTTTTTTTCATATAAGCATGCACATTATTCTATCTTGATTTTTTCACTTATTTTTGTAATCTTTCCATATTACAATATAGTTTCCTTATTTTATTCTTTCCCTGCACTCCATCGTATCCCTTTGTGTGGATATACTGTAACTCATTAAAATTACATTTTGCCTTTTGATTGAAAATTTGGTAACTGCTTTCAGAAAGCCATTATATAGTTGTAGTGCTGTTTAGATAGGACACTTAATTGGTAAACCTATAATAAGGCTAGACATCAGCAAGAGAAAAAATAAGGTAAGTTAACAAATGCTTTTGAATTAGAATGACTGTAGTATAGCTAGAAATTTAACTACTATTAAGAGGTAGTTGACAATTTTACGGAAACTTCAGGTTAAACAATATATAATTTAATTTTTAAAAATTTAATGGATTGTATTGCTTAACTTGAAGTTAATAACGTTTTTGAACCACGCATGTAGTCTAGTATAGATGTAGATAATACAGAGAATTTACATGTAGACAATGAGTATAAACTTTTAAGTTCTTTATCTCACCTCATTTAAACTTAAGAAATTACTCATGTCTATTTTTTTTTTTTCCTGGTACTGGGGATCAAACTCAGGACCTTGCGCTTGTGAGGCAAGTGCAGTACCACTGAGCTAAATCCCCAGCCCTCATCATGTCTATTTTAAACCTTGGTTTTAGTGTTCTTTTTTTCTTTTAAATAGTTGTTTTTAGATATTATTTTAGACTTTGTCATGAGTAAAGGAAATTTTTAGCATTCTGTTTCTTCATGGAAGCACAAAGGATTATTAGTCTCTGATCAGCTTTATAATCCAAAATATAAATCCTCTGGATAATTGCTGACATTAATATCTTATTCCCACTAGATAGTATTTGTATGCTGAAGACGTATTGCTTCTTCAATAACATTTGAAAGAAACTTATTTAATTTTGTTAAAAGATGCCTCACATCGGTAGCACACGTTTAATAAGTGAGCCCCATCATGCTTATACATTATTGAGCAGAACAAGGGTTTGTTGATAAAAAATAAACTACCAGGGCTGGGGATTTAGCTCAGTGGTTTCGCCGCCTGCTGCGCAAGCTCAAGGGCCCAAGTTCCATCCCCAATACCAAAAAAAAAAGGAAAAAGAAACTACCAGATTTTTATGTCTTATGAGTTTTTCTTCTCTAAAGAAAATATTGATGCTTTTGAAGTGATCCTGCATTCTACACTTTTAAATTGTTTATTGATAGACTTGTTTATCATGATTTGCTTCTTTAAAAAAGATAGGGTAAGCTGGGTATGATGCAGGGGGGGGAGTGCTTGAGCCTAGGAGTTTAAGGCCAGCTTGGACAGCATAGAGTATTTTGTCTTTTAAAAAGGATAGTCTTGGAGCTGGGGATTTAGCTCAGTGGTGCTGCTGCCTGCCTCTCAAGCTCAAGGCCCTGAGTTCGATCCCCAGTACCAAGAAAAGAAAAAAAAGAGTACTTTTGGCTTAAAGGTTTTGCTTTTTTGTGTGTGTGTATGGTATGGAGGATTGAACATAGGGCCTTTGTGTTGAGCTTTATCCCCAGACTGCTGTTTGTTTGTTTGTTTATAAAATTTGAGATAGGGTCTCACTAAATTGTCCAGGTTGGGTTCGAATTTACTAATCCTCCAGCCTCAACCTCCCAGAATGCTGAGATTACATGTGTGTGACACACCATTGAAGTTTTAACTATAAAGAGAATTACCACTAATAAAATTTATACCAGATAAATGTATCATGTCTGACTCTAAGTAAAAAAGTAGCTTTTTTTTTTTCTTAAAACATCGCGGAGATTAGATATTTTGTATGACATACTGGAAATAGTTAGCAAGCATGGGCTTTGGAGGCAGACCTGAGGATCTCCCACATTCTGGCTTGACTATTCCCTGCAGTGTGTCCTCAGCCAAATATTGTTTAGCATCTTTCTGCCCCATTTTTCTCATTTGAAAAATAGCCAGCAAACTCAAGGAATCATTTTGAGAATTTAGCAAAATTATATATGTGAACTTCTTAGGATATCACAAATGTTAGCAGATGTACAGTCAATATATAATAATGAATAACTGCATATAAATAAATGCTGTTCTTGGGTTACGGGAATAACTTAGTGGTACAGTACCTGCCTAGCATGTGGGAGGCTCTGAGTTCCATTCCTAGCCCTGCAAATAAAGAAAAGAAAGAATGCTGTTCTTTCAAGATATTTTAGAAGTTTATTTCACAAATATCTAATGTGTATTATCTAACAAGAAAATGGCCTACTTTTTGAGTGCTTTCTTTGTGTACCAAGCACTGTGGTGAGTTACACATTGTTCTGTTTACACTTCAGTTTTCTAAGGAATGCATTGTAGTCCTATTTTACAGTTGAGGAAGCAGAGAATTTATACAGTAACTTGCTCAGGATCACACAGAGAAGTGACTGGAATTTTCTTTCACTTCTTATACTTGGTTTGGTGTGTATAACTGGTTAGGATATAATAGGGTAAATGTGTTGATCATTTGAGGGAGAAGGACTGATTTTTACCACCTTACAGCATAATTTGGAAAGTCTTTTAAAGTAGTTTTTTAAGTTTATGAGATATTTCAAGTGTATAAACAACTAGTCTTCTATTTTGTACCCAGATTTAACAGGTTACTTTTAACATGTTACGATATTTGCTTCATATGTTTTTAAAAATTATTATTATTTTTTTTTTTGCTTCATGTTTTTTTTTTAAAGTATAACCTTAATGACCAAATGTAACAACCTCTTTTTACCTGTACCCCATCAACACCTAACCTGCTGTCTAGAAGTTGATAGTGTATATCAGCTCCATAAGTATGTGTGGACAGAAACTATATAGTGGTACCTTTGTTCACAAACTTGATTCTTTCCATGATTCTGGTCACAAACTGAGTTGGATGAGAACTAAATCAAATTCAGTGAATAAGTTCAATGTTAACCTTATGGGAAAATTTGATTCAGTTCTTGTCCAGTTCGGTTTGCACCCAGAATTGTAGAGAGAATTGAGTTCATGTACGAATGTGTAGGCTGTTTCTGTTTTTTTATTATTATAAACACTAGAGAAATTACATATTCAGATCTACAAGTGTAAAGACCTCCTCAGACACCAAAAAGTAAAAACTACAAAGAAAAGAGAATAGACAAACATGATTATAATCAGACTTAAAGTTTCTCTGTGACAACATGTAAGATAAACAAAATGAAAAAACAAGCTATTGGGGAAACATTTGCAATCCTATGAACAACAAAGGACTAACATCCAAATTATATATAGAATTCCTGTAATGAGTAGTCAAGGTTTACATGTATACATTAGATTGCAGTGCTAATGGTAATTAGCCTTAAGAACTTGTTTAATGTATCAGTATTTGAAACATGTTAAAAATAATTGCCCAGTATCCTGGATTTATCCATTTTTCTACGTAATTATAAGTTTCAAGACCATGATGTTAGGTGTATACAGGTATAGAGTTTTTAAAAACTCTAGTGAATTACTCTTTATCATTATGTAATGACTTATCTTCCTAATTGTGCATTTGAGTAAAAAATTTTTGAACTGATGTAACCGGATGCATTTTCTTTCTTTCAGCTACTATTTGCCTTGTACCTTTTACTTTTGACTTTTTTTTAAATAGTACTGGGGGTAAAACCTAGGAAGAATCTGTTTCTAAACTACATTCCCAGCCCTTCCTATTTTTATTTGGAGACAGACTCTCTCTAAGTTGCTTATATTTGTGGTGCTCCTGCCTCAGCCTCCTGAGTAGCTGGGATGACAGGCATGCACTTGGTGTCAACATTTTTTCTTTCAAATGTAGCACAAAACGTTTTTCTTTAGCAAAGGTGTAATTATTCAAATCTCAGATGGGTACATTTTAAAATTTTTATGTATCTTGTCTTTGACTAGCTTAGTTTAGTTTACTTGCATTTGTAACGGTTACCAATAACTTTGGACTCATTCTTATTTCAGCACTTTCCATGTAACATGCCTTTTCTTGGCTTTCTACTCCTACTCTCATGTTCCATGTTCAATATTATGACTCTTATATTTCTTACTCCCTTTTCAGTCTTCCTCTATGGATTTCAAAGTCACATATTTTCTTGCTATTCTTTAGTGGTACTCCTAATACTTTTTGACATGTATATGTAAAGTCTAATAGTATCTTTGCCCTCTTTTCAGTGGTATAATTTTAAGACCTTAGAATATCTTAACTGTAGATGCCTCCTGCATCTTACATGCTCTTATAAGCCAGAATTTTGGTTCTGCTTTATTTTTATATCCCAAATTAAATGATTATTAATTGTAAAGATTGTTTAGATTTATCTGTATTTTTATGGTCTTATTTGTTTTTTTGTTGCTACTTTCACAGTCCTGTCTTCTTATTTAGTTCTTTTTATCTTTTTTTTTTTTTTTTGTACCAGGGATCAAGTTTGGGACCTTGCGCTTGAGAGGCAGGCGCCAGAACTACTGAGCTAAATCCCTGGACCAAACCCGGACTCTTTTTTTTTTGATACTGGGGATTGAACCCAGCGCCTTCGTACTGAGCTACATCCACTGCCTTTTTTTATTTTTTCATTTTTAATTTTATTTATTTATTTTTTTG